GACCCCTGCGCTACACTGTGCATATTTCCTGTTTGGTACCTTACAGGCTTGTTTTTTTTGTATGACCGCTCATGAAGTTGGACCAGGTAGTACAGCGAGGTGCGCAAGAATGCTGGGACCCTTTTTCCACCTGGATCCCCGCTCTTTTTGGCCCTCACGTCCCTCCATTGTCTCACAAACTTTCCCCCCACTTCCTCATCGCCTCAACCGTTTCTAGACCCAGAGCTAGTTCCTGATTTTCCCCTTTTGTAATGTGGCATGGAGTAAACATAGCGCAGACCACGCTTCAATGCTGGGCACAAATCTAAAATGTGGAATCCACTCATTACATCAAACTGGGGAACTTGGACTTCCTACTTCAAATATACTGTACCAATAATAAGGAAGTTGTTTTTTACTGACAAAACACAACAAATCTGTTTTAAACGTTTCTGACAGAATTAGCCATTACGGCTGAATCAACAAGTACTTGCTATAAAAAAGGTTTGGGGCTCTTCATGCCTGAACTAACTTTGGAAGCTTTTAATATTCAGGAAAATCAGCTAAATAACTGTTAATATTCTCATGACAAACCACCATAAGCTGCTAATCTTTGTGCTTTCTCTTCCTTCTCAGTAAGCATGATACTGAGGTTAAGCCTTTTTTACTTTTAAACTGCCTGCAAATGTTGCTGCTCTGCACATCAGCTGACATCAGGTGCAATTTGGAGGTGTGTGTGTCACCTTTTCCCCAGCTGCTTTGATTGTGCAGCCCGGGCCGGCACAACCCACTCTAAAGCTGTTAGCCCAACATGTAGGATCAGAGGAAAAGGAATGTGCATTGCAGGGCTCATGAACGAGACAAAGATAGACTAGAAGAAGAAAATAATTTGCACGTTATGGAATGGAAATGTTCATTTACTGTCTGAAAGCTGTACAAAACTAAATTATGTTTTGTAGACACTGTCTACAAAATGACAATGAAAGTTGTCTGAGTCTAAGTGAAGCAATATGACTTTTTATACAGTTATCAGGAAAGATCGTCTGGTTTTTAGTTTTTCTTTCTACAGATATGTAAAGATTCATTTATAAACAAATATGAACGTTTTATTTGTCGGATTGAGTGCATATAAGATGCTCCTCCTAGAGCTCAAAGACACCAAACCTTTAAGATGTCAGGATTTTAATAGACTTCAGACCTAATCCCTTAAATACATTTTTGATCTCATACAAAAACCTTTACCTTGGTGAGAAAACAGTTTTTTTTTTTTTTTTTTAAATAGTTGGGAGAGAGAAAGATAACCTTATCAAGAATCATTCCACCCTTTCCAAAAAAACATGAGCAATGAATCCATAATCTGGGATTTGTGTTTAATCCTGGAAAGAACGGTGGCTGGACGCAGAACGGGGTCACACAGGAAGCTGTGGTGCTGAAAAACAAACTCTGCAGCCTGAACGGCTGCTGAAATCACAGCCTTTCTCACTCAGTGCTGAGAAAGTTGGCAGGAAACTCTGCAGGTGTCCGACCACTGCAACCACCTTCAAACTTTAATAAAGAAGCCATTTTTTTATTCATATTTATTATGGATTTGCATTCGTCTTAAATGCTGATCTTTGTTGAGCCTGTGAAATAGCAAGATCGGCAGCTTTTTCTGCACAGTCATTGCCTAATATCCTTTGGCACTTTCTTGCAGACCAGCTGAGCCGTCGGCTATCATCATGCCACAAGTCTGTCAGCTTGTTCCATCCTGCCTGAGTCCTACATCCAATCCTGTGGTCTAACACTGGAAAATAACAGCCTTCCTTCACTTAGCCTCCCTCAATGGAAACTCCCCTGTGTCATTAATAACACAGTGGGGCTTTTGTTCAGGAGAAACTCCACGGTTGAACTTGAGATAACGTATACAACCAGTCAATAGTTCAGAGCAGATTTAATGGAGTGGTTTTACAGACTCGTGCCTGCAGAATGCAACCATGTGTTATAGGTAGATTGGTTTCCCAGCGTAACCAGGCAACCAGCAGTCTGAAGTTTGAAGGATTTCCATCAGAAGGTCTACGAGGCCACCTGACTGCTAACTTTGCAAACACACTGGAAAAACAATCTAGAAATAAGTAAAAAATTATTAAATTAAGTGTATTTACCCTTGATTTTAATAGGCAAATGAGATAATTTGCCAATCGAAGGAGTATTTTTACTCTTAAAATAAAATAATTAGATAATATACACTTGAAATAAGACAATGCAGCTGTGTTTCCATATTTTAAATCTAAATTGTCTTGTTCCATTGGCAAAATGTCTCTTTTTTCACCTCAATTCAAGAACAAATGCACTTATTTTAAGAAAAAAGGACTTATTTAGATTTTGTTTTTTTTCCAGTGCAGTTGCTGCTCAGGAGCAGAGGCGTAGCCAGACATTTTCTATAAGGGTGTCCAGGCACTCACCAATGTACTCTGAGGGGTGGCTGAAAGCAGATAGGCACCAGAACCTACGGGTCATTCTACACTGTTCCAACCACCAAAACATCCACATTTCCTAAAAAAAAGACAAACTATACTTTCCTACAGCTTTTGCTAACAAACAGACGCATATATTTAAACATCTGTAATTTCTAGATAAAAGATATAGTGGATAAAATCTGGGGCGTAAATCTTTTCCATTATTATTACTTACCTACTTGTATGAATAAATATTCTGCATAAAAGTGATATTTACAAGCACTAATATCTACATAAATTGATTATTTTATAAGTTTTTTATTATGTGTTATTTATCTTTGATTTCACTGAAGACATCTAGATGAGTTAATGATAATTTTCTTTTTACCCCATATAACAAAAAATCTAGTTCTGAAAAGATGAATTCTTCACTTATCATCTTTGATGTTAGTATATTGATGTGTATAATTAACCGTAAAAAATTAAAAAGTTTTGAATATTCCACTTGAGAATATTACTGCTGTCACCGTTGTATTAAAGGGAAATAAATGGTAGGGGTGGCCAATGATTGGCTAAAGCCGGGCTTACACTGCGATTTCTTTTTGCCCTTCTCAGGGCAATTTTCCAGTCGTGCGAGAATTTTCTAATTGGGTCGACTTTCAGCATGATCGTGTAGTGGCCTCTCACCACCACCTGCCGATCAGGAACCCGATCGTCGTGGGCAAACAAGGATTCTTCTTCTTCTTCCTCTCAGATGAAAACACAGAAGCATGGCGTGGGTGTAAGTGAAACAGAGTTCTCTCCGTAAAATCGACAGACCGTAGTCGCCATGTTTGCTCAGCCATGTCTTTGTCAAAACACGTTGTCGCCTTTTCTTTTTAGGGCTTACAGCACAAAATTGCACAAATTGCCAAGGCAGCGCGTTTCACTCTAGTGAGCTTCATATTCCTCTTCTACTCGTTAGGGATAGACGAGTCCGATTAGCACCATATCACTGCCGAGCTGAGTCTGACGTGTTTTTTTTTTTTTAGACGAACAAACCGCGGGGTTTCATCATAAAGTGTGAGTTCACAGCTGCATGTAACAATTGAAAGAAATCGCACAGTGTATGTGTGGTAATGTGGCCTTTTTGGTAAGTTTATTGCATGTATTCTAATTTTTGATTTTCTTTATTTTTGAACTTGTTTGCTTGTTTTCAATTTTGTGTGTTGCATGTTTTTTTTTGGATTTTGTTTGGAGGCCACATTGCCACTCACACCTGGACACGCCCACAGCAGCGGCACAGGTGTTCCCCATCAACCAAGCAGCGTGCCGACTGGGACGCTGATTAAAAAGGCAGCTGTTTGGTTGGAGAGACACACCGGACATGGGAAGGTTTGGTTGGAGAGACACACCGGACATGGGAAGGCTGATCATGGAGGGAGCCAGACGGAGCGGGTGAGAGAGAAGCAGCGGGAGAGGTTTGGGGACTGACGGCCGGAGGCCCGCTGGAGCGAGGTACAGAGACGCACGCCGGAGAGACGCACGCCGGAGCGAGGTGCAGAGACGCACGCCGGAGCGAGGTGCAGAGACGCACGCCGGAGCGAGGTGCAGAGACGCACGCCGGAGCGAGGTGCAGAGACGCACACCGGAGCGAGGTGCAGAGACGCACGCCGGAGCGAGGTGAAGAGGCCCGTCATGGAGCGAGGCGCAGAGGCACGCTGGCGAGAGGCGCGTGTTGGAGGTGACCTCGCTAAGGCCAGCTATGCTGGAGAGGCCCACACGCACAGCGTGCCGGAACGAGGATCCAGCGCTGGGGTGGACGGTGCCCTCCATTGTACCCGCCAAGTGCGCGTCTTTTAACAGACTGGGCCATTGACTCTGCTGCTCTTCACCATCTGTATTTTTATCTTTCTTTTTAATCTTTTTCCTTTTAACTTGTCTTTTTATTTTTTTTATTGGACTTTAATCGATTAAACTTTTTAAAGCTCTGCTCACAATCGCCGCAGTCTGTTTGGTTTTATGGTTTTTTAAGATGATCGCACCTCTCGGTGCCACATATGCCCGGATTAAGGGTAGCCATGGCCCCCCCTGACCCCCCATCTAGCTCCGCCGCTGCTCAGGAGAAGGACCAACGGTCTAGATCCAGGTCTGGATGGGACCAGAGAAGGTGGTTCCTTTTGCTCCCTGCTGATCAAAGCATCATTGTGAACTGGTGAGGCTGCAGATGGAAAACTAAGTGAGGCTGGTGAAAAGCCCCTGCTGTTTAAACACAGACAGCCAGTGTGCTGCAGGAGCAGCAGCTGTGTGTGTGTGTGCAGCACAAATCATATGGCATCACTGCTGCGTTCACACTCCTACCCATTAATCTGAATGTTTTCCTTAATCTGAGAAAGATGAAACACGACTACTTGATACTGACAGAGAGGGAAACGAAAATGCAACTAAATTAGCATTGATATCTTCCTAAATTTATATCCACACATAAATATTTGAATAAAATTACCCTGATCAGAAGAAAGAACACAAAATACATCTAACAGACAGACGTCATGATGATTTCAGGTGTTGTTAAAGATGTTTATAGGTAAAGGCAGGAGGACCTACCTTGCCTTTGGTGAGGGAGCAGCTTGATTCCAGGTCCGCAGTGGCAGCGATCTTATTTATGAGGCACAGGAACATGTGTGGCTGAAACAATCTGCCTCTGATTAAACAGCTTCACGGCTTTCCTCCCAGAGCCTGAGTTAGGTGAGCGGATAGAGAGGTGAGAGCAGCAGCAGCAGCAGGCGGCTCTACAGGGCTCTCCTGTCAGGCCCTCTCCTCTAGAGGAGCTCCTGTCTCAGCTGAGTCCGTCCAGGAAGCTCCGCTCACTCTCTGAGCTGAGCTCAACTCTCTGCTGCTCCTGCTGGCTGACTGGCTCCGCTCATGATGCGTTCAGGTGCGGCAAGGAAAAATGACACTTCCCGGTTGATTTGATCTTTTCTGTATGGAATACACGCGGTTGCTCAGTGGCACAGTGGGTAGCACTGCTGCCTTGCAGCAAGAAGGTTCTGGGTTTGATTCCTGGCCCGTGTTCTTTCTGTATGGAGTTTGCATGTTCTCCCTCAGCATGTGTGGGTTCTCTCCGGGTACTCTCGCTTCCTCCCACAGTCCATAAACATGACTGTTAATTTAACTGGCTTCTCTAAATTGTCCTTAGGTGTGAGTGTGTGCATGAATGGTTGTTTGTCCTGTGTGGCCCTGTGATGGACTGGTGACCTGTCCAGGGTGTACTCTGCCTCTCACCCATTGACAGCTAGAGATAGGCACCAGCACAGCTCGCGACCCCAATTGGATGTATGGAAAACAAAAATGTTTTGAAGGGGCCACTGAAAATCTTAGGGTAGCACAAAAAAGACAGCCATAATTTCAGGGTCATTTGCTTAATTATATTTAGTTACTTTACACAATTGTTTTATGTTTGCAGGGTAGGACATAAAACAATTGTGTTAAAGTAACTACATATAATTAGGTAAATGCCAAAAGCGGTTGCATTTTTTTTTGTGTACTAGTGGTAAATCTACTCATATCTTGGTTTATTGTGTGGTTTTTAATGTTACATGGCTGGCTGTGCATAATGGTAATAAATGCTAAACTGATGCAGCGAAAAATTTACACTGGCCAGTGGAGTGGCCAAAGCATTGCACAGGGTAGCTGTGGCCACCCCTGGTCACCCCCTGGTGGCACCACTAGTATGGAAGCCCATTCATAGATGCAATCATTTTTCGCTGTAGGTGTTGCTGAATTTCTGCCATCCTCTCATAAGAAAAAATAAATTATATTAGAAATATATCATCACAATATTAGTGACTATATATATCACTAATGTATATATATCGGGCGGAGCCCCGATCCAGCACTAACATGGTGGTATCAGTAACCAACACATAGGGCACTGATACCATTTTGGAGTCAAAACTCAGGGCCTTTAAGAGTTTATTCAATTATTAATATAATTTGACTATTTTACTGTTGCACTAGTATTATGCATGTTATATAAGTTGATGAACTTCAGATATATTTGTTCGTTGATTAACGAATATATCTGAAGTTATGAATTTAATTGTTTTAGAGACTTTATTAGCTTACAGGACTAGTGCTGAGCAACATTAAGAAAGATCTGCCCATGCAAGGACAGGGTAAAGTACTTCTAAAGACACATTTTACTTTTTATTGCTGTTTATTTAATCTACAAGGCTCGACAGGGAGAAAACAACCAAGCTTGTGTCGAAACAAGAGGTCTCACTTTAGCATAATGATTTTGACCCCCACCCACACCACCACCCACCAACCACCCAAAGAAAAAATGTATTCAAGCTTTAAAACTCCTATAAAGATGCATTGAAGAGTATCATTCACATTTTTAAATTGTTGGCAAAGCGTAAAAGTTAAACATAGATTAACTTTAAAACCTTACATTAAGAATCATTGTCTCAAAATAATTACAGCTTAAAGAAAAAAAAAACATAGCTGTTTCTATGTACAAATGAGAAGAAAATAGGTTTTGGGTTGTGAAAATATTGCCCTGTAAGGTTTGACTATATCTTTATTAAAGAACAGATTATTTTTATGCTGACCATGAGAACTTTTCATGCGTTAATATGTGTAATGACAAAACATGTATTTTTGGTGTTGCTGCTTTAGGCTGCTCATGAGATTAAGATTTATAGGTGACTTTTAATAATT